CAATCTACTTCTGTAAAGATTTACCATCTTGGAAACCTCATAGGGGTCGCTATGAGTTGGCATTGACTCTATGGCAGTGGGTTTGATTTTTGTTTATGATGTATTCATTCAACAAATATTTGTTAGGTATATATTTTGGAGAAGATATTGTGGGGAGTAAATAAAATGTGGATTCCAATTTCAAGATCAGAATTACCTGGCAAAATCATCAGCAATTACTAAGCAGTCAAAAAGTCTGGCCTGCCTTATGCAGGCAAGTCTGGTTAGTGACTTTATTGAGGGCAAACAACCCTGAGTGTCACAAGAATTCTCCTAACCAAGGTCTTCTGAAGGACACTGCAGAAACATGATCCATACACCACCAAGATAAAGAGCACTTCAAGGAAAGGATCTTTAGGTCATGATCAGCTTAGTGAGTCTTAGGTTGGATGGATCTGAATCTGACTTGTGGGGAAAAAGGAACTAACATTTACCAAGTATCTGCTATGTGTGAGATACCATGCTAACGGCTATCATAATGTCATACATTATCACATTTAATTCTCACACTATGTGAGCTAGACAGTTATCTCAATGTTAAGGACTGGGAAGGCTTAGGCTCACAAAGTTAAGTATTTGTCCAAAAGATGTCCAGTGATAAATGGCAAAATCCACATTTAAACCAGTGTCATATCAAAGCTCATACTCTTGCTGCTTTCTGGAGGGTTAATGCAGCAGCCAACAACTGCACTAACCAGCACCCACTCACCAGGTAACCATTCTACTCTGTGTCTCAGGTTAGTAACCTCTCGTAGCACTGTTGGGAGATACAAATAGAATAAATAATATAGAAAAAGTGGGCAGAGCAGTGGCTGGTATCAGCCAAGGGTCAGCTACTACTAAGATTACTGCTAGTACCCAGTACTCTATCCTTTTAGTGATTATCAAAACAGGAACCAGATAAATGCACAAACATACACACTTACTGAGGGACTGGAAACTTTTGCTCTTGAGAGAAAACGATTTTTTTGTTTTTACATCATGAAGTAGAATTTAATATAGGATAAAAAAATGTATTGTTTCTTTTAAAACAATTTTAGGTATATCTCAGCAAGTAAGGAAATAAAGGTAATTAAGCAGAAGAGGCCTCAGGAATTATAATAAATTTACTTTCTAATCCTAAAGGTTAATTTGTTTCAACTCGTAAGGATGGAACAGAAGTTTACAGCTGTGTCCCTGAGGAGGCTACTGACAGAATATAAAACCCACTGCTATCAAGTTGATTCTGACTCGTATTCCTCCCACAGAGTGACTGGGTGGATTTGAATTATTGACCTTCTGGTTAGTAGCCAAATGTCTTACCCATTGCCACCAGGGCTCCTTCTGACAGAATATATGCCAGTGTTACTCAGAGCAGCCTGGGACAGCTTCCTCAGCAGACTCACAAAGCCTGCATGTTCTAACAACAATATGGCTACCTGCAGGTGCCACCAGGTTGTTCTGAGCCTGCTCATTGCCCAGCAATAAGGTGGGGTAATCCCATAGCCTCTACATTCCTCTCTTTACCTCAAGATCGTAGGTAGAATTTTCTTCCTGGCACATTTAGTATTAATGTTAATGACTATCACATGGTTTTTATTCTTACTGCAACCTTTCCCATCTGAAATTCTGAAACACACTACTATATTTATGCTATTTCTATCTTCCAAACCACAAAAACCCAAACTCACTGCCATCAAGTTGACTTTGACTCATAGAGACCCCCATTGGGTTTCTAAGGCTGTAAATTTTTACGGAAGTGGATTGCCTCTTCTGTCTTCCACAGAGCAGCTGGTGGGTTCAAACCACTGACCTTTTGGTTAGCAGCCAAATGCCTTAAGCATTATACAACCAGATTTCTATCTTATGGCTATGCTATTTCTTAAAAAAAAAAAAAAAAAATCTTTTTATTTTCCTTGTTGTTGTTGTGCCGTGGAGTCAGACCCAACTCATAGTGACCCCTCCTTGAGTTTCCAAGGCGGTATCACTATGGAAGTAGATTGCCCCATCTTCCTTCCAAGGACTCTGTAAATAATGACTCTATAAGTGTAGGTCTTTAAAATTAATTTTCTATTGAGACTTATGAATGTCATTTAAAAAAGTGAAATACTTATCTGACGGCAAGCCTGGCTACCACATTCTACTCTACTGCTGTACTGAGAAAAGTTCTGAGATTCCACAGATCAAAAAAATACAGTTAACATGCAGTTTTTAGAATTTTCTATAATTAAATGGCCCAGGTCCTTCTTAGTCTGCATAACACTACAACTTGCTATTATACTCAGTGAACACTAGGTAGTGCCATAACCCAAAGGACTGAGACCTGAACTACTTTGTGTATATTTTTCTTTCTTAACCTAAGAAGGCAGGATGCCTTGGGTCACTGAGACCCTTTAGAATTTTTACTTATCAGTATCATTTCTTTAGCTAAATAATGCTGGCAGAAGCTTGTAATGTCAGTGTGCTTGCTTTTTAAAATGATGAAATGTACCATTTTATGATTATAGTACTTAAAAATCTATTAACTATCACTCAAAAGAATCCCATGGGCCTAAGATTGGCAATAAATGAGAGAACTATGTTTTGTTCACCAGACAGAAAGAACAGACCCTTTTATAAGTACCGAAACCATCACTCTTTAGAGATTCTGACAGTGGCATATGGGACCTCATCTTTTATTTTATTAGGGTAACTCATACAACCTAGGAAATTTTCATTCTCATATCCTTATCTTTCTCTTTCTTAAGTAAAACAAGCCATTAAACCACTCCAACATTGTTTCTGTTAGGCTTTTAAGTGGCCCCAATGAAACTCTGTAACAAAAAGATTTCTAATTGTTTTCAGTCCAGGGGAAAAAAAAAAAAAAAAAAAAAGGCAAATGAAAGAATAAATGACCACTCAAGAGGTCTACAGCTCCAAAACATAAAATTCAATTTAGAAAACTAGTTAAGACCAAGGTTAGGTGGCTTCACAATGGCTCCAAGCTAATGTTTACAATGTAGCCACTAAAATTCACTTAATGTATATCAGAAACAAACAGAACTTATTCAAACACGGAACTTGATAATATTATTCAGTTGTCAAGATGATATACGATGAAGCAAAGTCCATAAAAATTAGCAGGTCACAAATAGAAAGCTAAATAGTTTTAGCATTTTCCTCCCCAAATAGAGAAGTACAAAAAGCCCAACAAATAACAGAAACAGCAGGAAGGAACGAGCTCAAACTTTGTATTATAAAAATGAGCTCCTCAAGAGATAGCACTGGTCTGTGGTTCATAACTAAACCTACTGCCATCGAGTCAATTCTGACTCATAATAACCTCCACTGGGTTCCCACAGTTGTATATCTTTACAGAAGGAGATAGTCTCATCTTCCTCCTGAGGAGCAGCTGGTGGGTTTGAACCACCAATCTTCTGGTTAACAGCCAAGTATTTTATCCACTATGCCATTAGAGGTCCTTAACTAATAGACTAGGCTCTGTTTTTTCAAAATCTGGATTCACTGCTAAACTGTTACTTGATCCAGAATCCTCTATCACCATTTGTTTCTAGAATTTCAGAGCAGAATATGCATCTAGTGCCTAAAGCACTTGACTGCTAACCGGGAGGCTGGTGGTTCAAACCCACCAGCCACTCCTTGGAAGGAAGGTTGGGCAATCTACTTCCATAGCGATACTGTCTCGGAAATCCAAGGAGGGGTCGCTATGAGTCGGGTACAACTCAATGGCACATAACAACAACAACTACACAATATTCTCTATTGTCAGTTATGTTCCTGCAAATTAATCTGTGTTGTTATGAAATGTCTACAAAGGTTCATGCCTATGATAACTGAAAAGTTGTTCGTAACTGTGCCTCTGGAAAATGTAGTCTATTAAAAAAAATAGAAGCAACAGTTTTCTGGTTAACTTTTCAATACTACATAAACTAAATATAACTAAAATATTGTTAACATAACTAAATAAAAACTAAACATAACTCTTCTCTAGGAATCACAAAATTAGGTTGAGAGTAATTAAACCTAAATAACAGACACAATTTTTTCACAGGCTTTCATCCACTCCATTTAGGAAATCTCAATAGTAGACAGAAATCTGAAATACATGAAGTAATTACTTGTATCTACCATAGTCTCAAAATGCTTCCAAATTCACCCAGGAAGCAAGAGGCTATAAACTATTCTTAAGAAAAAGTACTTTGAACTAATCAGAAATGTAATATTGATTCTGTATGTTCTAAAATTCTCATCAGTCCCATTTACAAAGTGCTTCCACCTTCAAACACAAGTCTTGAAGCAGAGGGGGTCAAGACAGTGACAGCAGTGGTGAAGAGACCTGGCCAGAGAGGCCAGAAGTGAGACCACAGATTAACTGCTAAAGGAAAATCAGTCAACCTCATTTCTTCACTGATTTACCCAGAGGGCTCTGGAAGCAGTAAAGATCAGGGACTTCAAGGGAACTGTTTGGTTACAACGCAACTAGAGACCCAGTTGTAGCCAGCTCAGCAGATTTTTAAGCATCATAGTTAACCAGTTTTAAAATTGAGAGAGAAAAATATAGTCCAAGTCACTACTGTATTTGCAAAATCTAAACTAAGCCGAACAGCTGTTAATATGTAAGGATGCTTCTAGCTAAATAATTCAAAATTTTAAAAAATTATTACAAATAAAACAAGGCATTTGACAGAACAAAAAACCTGTGTGTACACATGTGCAAGTTACTATGAGGTTTCAAAGGATAATTTTTTGGGTGGATTACTTATTTAAGTTTATAATTGAGCATCTAGAAATGACATCATAATAAAAGTCTGAGGCAAAAGTTCTAATATCAAATGTACATAGTAGATAAAATATTTATCTTTCTTTTCAATGGTATTACTTTAATACAAAGTAACCAACACAAAGAGCATTATAAATCAAGAAGTGATTTAGTTTTGTGGCCTGACAAATTTGGGGGTAGACAGAAATCCTAAGTGACCTACCTGGATGGGTCCTACGGACATGAGCAGGTTTTTCAGCTGGACATCGGTAGTTGATGAAGAAAGCCCTTCCACCGACACCACACACGGTTGAGGCTTGCACTCCACCACTCGCAAATTCTGTTTATTTGGCATGAGGCGTCCCCGACCCATCTGACCTGCTACTCCTCTGCCTCTCCCATACATAATGACCTGGCAGCAACAAAAAGCAACTGTATTTTGATTTTTAAACTTTAAGCAGTTTCAAAGCTACTTAGATGTAAAACTGAGCAAGTTATTTACAATCAATTAAAATATACCATGAGCTACCTACACAAAAATATTGTTCCACATCCTACTTTGGCAAGTAGCAACTGGGATCTTAAAAGCTTGCAAGCAGCCTTCAAGACGCAATGATGGGTCTCTCCTCGTCCAGAGCAAAGAAGAGTGAAGAAAACCAAAGACGTGTAGAAACAATTAGTTCAAGAGACTGGTATACAATGTGATTCTCAGTCTATATAACTATGAGACCAGAAGAACTAGATGATTCCTGGCTACCACTGTCAACCACTCAGAGGGGGATCTACGTAGGAGATCTTGGATAGAGTGGGAGAACAATGTGGAACAAAACTCAAAATCATTAAAAAAAAAAAAAAAGGACCAGGTTTGCTGGTCTGATAGAGCCTGGTGGAACCACTGAGACTATGGCCCCTAGGTGCCCTTCAGGTCTGGCACTGAACCCACGCCGGTGGCTTCCAGCCAAACAAAAGACAGGTATATGAGCTGAACATTTACATTAGGCAGATACACTCCTTGGAGAGCTCAATCATGGGAGAACAGAAGGGATGTGTAGAGAGAGACAGCTCGGAGGACAGGAGTGCATGGGAGGGAAGGGGAAGAGGAAGTGGGAGGGGAGCTGTTGCATTCTGGGAAATTGCAGTCAATGTCATGAGACAAAGTACCTGTGAGCTGGTATATGGAAAGTGAATTTGCTCTGTAAACTTTCACCCAAATCACAATAAAAACTAATACACACACACACTATATGTTGTTGTGTGCTGTCGAGTCGAACCCAACTCATAGCAACCCCTCCTTGGGATTCTGAGGCAGTATCACTATAGAAGTAGATTGCCCAATCTTCCTTCCAAGGAGTGGCTGGTGGGTTTGAACTACCAGCCTTCTGGTTAGCAGTCAAATGCCTTGGGTAATATGCCACCAGAGCTCCTCATAATAAGTTATATTATTATTAATAATTTACTTTCCACCAAGAGCTTTCTTATACATATTTGGTACTTTTTATATACTTTTATGTTAAGTTGCAAGCTTTTCATATATGTATCTTCTTGTAGAATCCTCATAACAGCCCAAATAAGATGGAAAACATTATTGTCCTTATTGCATAGAGTATACTGAGTTTTAAAGACACTCAAACACTTTATTTCATATATATGTATGTATATCTCTTTAAGGTCTTCTTCATTATATGTCCAGGGATAACACCTGAATAAAGAAAATTTAAACAGGAACAATCTTTAAAAACTCAAGTGATGAAGACAGCACTCAATGTGTCTTTAGACCTCTGGTGTGCTGCTCCAAAAGTGGAATTCTGTTTGTTCTTACCTCATAAATTGTTACTGAGATAATATAGTCAAAGCAAGCTAAAAACGTCAAAAAAGACCCCCCAAAATAAGAATGGTCTTGATATTAATACTACTGGTAGTACCAAGATAGGATGATTTATTGTATCTGCTAATCTTGGTACTATCAGTAATATTAATATTAAGACCATCAAAGGCTTAGATTTCAAAGTAGTTTTCAAAGGCTTCCTGTAAGAAACTCAAAGCAAGGTAGTGCTACCTTTCTATCTTGCCAGAATTTATCAAGATGAAGGGTGTCTAGCTTCTGCACCAACTGGGGATGTTACCATTTGGCTATCTTTCCCTGCGTTTCCTGCAGATACGGAAAAGCTTTGAGGAAACTGAAACAAGATGCTCTTCACTAGAAGTCAGGAGGTGGAAAGGCTGCTCTATTACTAATCTATAACATCATCAGAGGGACCCTCCTTTTGTAGGGAAGATTCTAAATATATCACATAAAAAGGAGAACATTTACCCCCATGGAATGGAGGTCTGGTGTGATTCCCATGCTTCTTATTTGTCTTAACAGGCCGAACTGAGACAAGAGATACTCCTTCAACTATCAATAACTGCCCGTCTACAGGTCCAGGAAACACCACTAAAAGAATGGTGGCTCTGCCCCTTTCTCAGGCAAATTATTTAACCTCCAAAAGCCCAGGTGTCCTATCCATAAATTGGGGATGATAATTATGAAATCATCCATGAAAAGACACATGACATTATATTTATGAAGACAGTAAAGTAATAAACAGAGGAAGGGAAGCATTACTGTGCTGAGTGTTGTACATGTATGTTCTTTCTATCTGGGAAGGAAGCAGAGATTCTGGCTGTGTAGATAGCTCAGAGTTGTAGGATGCTTGCTTATGCATGATTTACTGCATTTGTACCATTATAAAAGCATTTAAAAATAAAGAAAAGCTCCACTGTGAACATTTCAAAACCAGAACAAAGAAAATCATGGCTTATTTTTTTTCTTGGTTTTTTTGAGCACTACTTTGTGTCAAGCATATCAGAGAAACCATTTAAATATTAAGTTGTCTTACCAAACATCTATCTAAATGTCTACAGAACATGGCCTTCACTTTTCTAATGGTTTAGATAAGACTATCAACAGTACCTTTTTGGCTGGGTGGATTCCTTGGATGTTTTTGATCCCTGGAGGAATAGCTGGGTGCATGTGGGTGGTCACTGGCGAGTGTTGTGGCTGCTGAAGTGTCCCCTTGGTCAGAGTGACCTTCCGGGCAGGCTGCTGCCTCCCCTCCGGAGCCTGAGGAAGCCGCTGGGGCTGGCCCTCTGGGTGAAAAAAGCCATCACTCTCTCCTCCCTGCTGAAAGCAAGAAGGGATCATATGCTGTTTAGGATCTGCTCACACAAACATTTGTTTCTCAAAAATCAGGGGACTTAACCTTGGCCAGTAGTTAACTGAGAAACACAACAATTTCAAACAAGGATATAACCAAACGTCTCTTTTCATGAGAGCCAGTAAGGAAATTTGCCACTTGGCAGTGCTCAGGTTTAGTAAAGAGCCCTAGTGATGCAATGGTTAAGTGCTCGGATGTTAACCTGAAGGTCAGGCTGGTGATGTGAATCCACCAGCCATTCTACGAGTGAAAATGTCAACATAACAGCCCGGGAAATGCTATGGGGCAGTTCTACTCTGTCCTATAGTATCACTGTGAACTGGAATCAACTTGAGGACACAAAACAACAGCAACAAGGTTTTAACAATATTTTTACAATTTAAAACATAATTTAATTACTGTATCTGTTTAAGAGGCCTGCAATTAAAATAAGTGCTGTTTAACCCAGTGAAATACTATGTAACATTAAAAATCCTTCATATTCAACAGGCATGTTTCATTTTCTTTTCTTTTTTTAAAACTTGTTTTTGTGATTTGGGTGGAAGTTTACAGAGCAAATTTATTTTTTGTACAGCAGTTTATACACATTTTGTTTCATGACACTGATTGCAATTGCCCACAATGTAACAGCTCTCTTCCCACTTTCTCCCTGTACTTACCTCTAACCTGTGTCCTTCCTTCCTATGCATTTCTGCCCCCAGAGCTATCTTCCTGTGCAAACACTGCCCTTCTGTTCTCCCACAACTGATAGCTCTAAGAAGTGTTATCTACCTGATGTAAATATAGACCCTATATGCTTGTCTATTGTTTGGCTGGAAATCATGGGAGTGAGTTCAGTTCCAGACCTGAAGGTAAACTAGGGGCCATAGACTCAGGGGTCTCACCAGACTCTATGAGACCAGTAAACCTGGTCTTTTTTTTTTTTTTTTAAATGATTTTAAGTTCCTCAGCAGGCATTTTTCATTTTCAGGAGCATTCTTGTTACAATCTGACAGTTGACAGGAGTGGTGGTCTTAAAATTTTTCTCTTACTCACACCTGATATGAGTAAGAGAAAAGTGATCATGTTGACTCATTCCACTGCTTTCTATTCAAACTGGAAGGCTAAAGATCAGTCATCCAGAGTGAATTATGAAAGAGACCAAACAGCGGTGCCTTTCTTCCACAATGGAGACAATAAAACTGAATACTCTACAGTCATCAATGTTCACAGGAGTTGAAGGCATCCCAGTATTACTGGCTAAAAATGTCTCCCCTCCTACAGGACTGGCACAATGGTTGTTTCAGAGAAGAAAAGCATTTACTCTATTAAGAGCTCTAGGAATTTTAGAAATACTTAATCTAACCTTTTATTTTTTACAAATATTCCCTCATTTCCTGACCTTAAAACTTGTTAATCAGTTTGGAAGCAAGTACACATGCAAGCTGCACTATTGATGCTGTTTACGATATTATTAGTCAGCATGAAAATGGCTGGATGGCCGCCTGTCAGCTATGTTCAGTATTAAATATCGCATTCTCCAAAAGGGTAGCTGGAGGAAGGGAAAGAAAAAGTGGCCTGCAAGAATATCAGATCTTAAATTATGTCATCCTACTAGAAATGGATGCTTAAACTTGAAAGACAGTATTAAGGCTTTTATTATTAGCACGATTCCCTACTCGTCACATAAATAGGAATATATTAAGTCACTGGTTAGTGAATCTTCCACACATAGGCTGCTCAGCTATGCCAGTATTTCCAGTAATAACTTGGTATATGAGCTCAGAAGTAGCCCATGTCTCCCTCGCCAAAAAACTTACATTTTAGAGACAGTTTGATAAAACAAAGAACTCCACAAAGAGAAGGAACAGGAACTAGATTAAGGTGAGTGCTGATGTTTATCAAGACTGCCCAAAGTAATGAGAACCAAGAAAATACGAAATTAAAAATGGTACACAGGAGCAGAACTTCTGGCTATGGTGGCTTGAAAAGGTCGACAAATTCTCTCCTCCCCTCAAATCAAGCAAAAAACCAGAAAAGTTGTTGAAAACAACCATTTCAGGGCTCTGGAAATCAATTAAAGTGTAACAACAAATTGAGAAGCATTTCTTCATAAAATTTGGGAGCAGTGTCAGTCTATGGCCTTCTTGAGTGGGGCTGTTTTTATTAGCACAGGCCGAGTGTGAAAACCCTTGAGGGATGAATTTGATTTGGTGTTGAGGCCTGAACACCCACACAGCATTGTCAGTAAAAGCAGCACTCTGTGGGAAAGGAATGGAGAAAAGCCCACTGGTCTTTGGTAATGGTCCTGTTTGGGACACACAAGCAGACTAACCAGAGATTTAACCTTTCCACACAAGGCTGACCAGGAAATTCATACAAGTCCAAGGAGAACAAAGGTCTGGCAGAAAGCAGAAGCCATGGCAGACTTAAGAACTGGCTGACTTTGAATGCACTCTCCAACCTACTTACAAATTCGCTTACTGGCTGATCACTAAGCTATGCACCAAGAGTTGACCCCTGAGAAGCTAAAAAATAAAATTTCAAAATTTAATGAAAAATCTTTTGAACTGAATGAAAAAGAAAATACAACTTATTAAAATTTAAGGGATGCACTGCTTGCTTTGGCAGCACATATACTAAAATTTAAGGGATGCAACTAAAGCAATGCTTCCAAGGAAATTTACAGCTTTATAGCTTGTACCAGAAAAGAAGAACTAAAATCAATAGGAACTCTAACCCAGAGTAAGAAGAAAGGATATAATAAAGATCACAACAAAAGGCAATGACACAGTAAAAGAAAAAAAAAAAAAAATAGAGAAAATCAGTAAAACTAAAAATTGGTTTTGTGATGAACAAAATCGATAATCTTTTAACTAGACTGACCATAAAAAAAGGAGGTAAGATACAAATTACCAGTATCAGTCATGAGAGAGGGATTATCACACTAACCCTAAAGAAATGAAAAAGAATGTTATTAACAATGTTATACTAACAATTTAGACAACTTATACGAAATGGATAAATTCTGTAAATGATACAAGGTGCCAAAACTGACTCAAGAAAAAACTGAAAATCTTGTAAGAGATGCTAACGGGAGCCCTTTGGACAGAGAAGCAACAACAGCAAACAACAACTGAACATTAACACACATGATGACATAACCCAGAGACCAACCCAGCTATGGAAGTATCCAGTAAATAAGCCTAAAAAATTGTAAACGGGTGTCAGTGAAAGCAAACATGGGCATATGGGTGGATAGATGGGTGGACAGGCTGAACTATTAGGTATGTCTATGCAGTGGGGAGTATACCCAAGACCATGTATAGGGTTAGCAGACAATGGTTCTACAAGTGTATTTGTGTGTTCTGTAAGAATTCCCAGGTGTATAGTAGAGCTAAGGAACTCTGGTAGCATAGTGCCTAAGGCACTTGACTGCTAACCAGAAGGCTGGCAGTTCAAACCCACCAGCCACTCCTCGGAAGGAAGGTTGGGCAATCTACTTCTGTAGTGATACCACCTCAGAAACCCAAGAAGGGGTCGCTATGTGTTGGGGTCAACTCGATGGCACATAACAACAACAACATAGTAGAGCTGAGAAGGGACAAAGTTGTAGCCATTTCTTGGTGATAGTCAGCTACCCAGAGGGAGCGAGTAGTTGAACCTGTGAGCTCAGGACCATAGTCACAGGAGACATTAAGCTCAACTGGCATAACGTACTACACTAAACGTTGTTCTGCCTCCTACTTTGGCAAGTAGCAAGTGGGATCTTAAAAGCTTGCAAGCTGCCATCTAGATGCAACAATGGGTCTCTGTTCATCCAGAACAAAGAAGAATGAAGAAAACTAAAGATTCATAGAAACAGTCCTAGCGACTGGTACACCATGTGATCCACAACCTATACGACTATGAGACCAGAAGAATTAGATGGTGCCTGGCTACCACTGTCAAACACTCGGAGGGGGATCTATGTAGGAGATCCTGGATAGAGAGGGAGAACAATGTGGAACAAAACTCAAAGTCATTTGGATGGAAAAAAAAGGGGGAACCGGGTTTGCTGATCTGATGGAACCACTGAGACTATGGTCCCTAGCTGCCCTTCAGGTCTGGAATTGAACACACACTGCGGCTTCCAGCCAAACAAAAGACAGGCATGAGCTGAACATTTACCTGAGGTAGATACACTCCTTGGAGAGAACAATCATGGGCGAAAGAAGGGCTGTTTATGCACAGGGAGACAGCTCAGGGGGCAGGAGTGCATGGAGGGATGGACACAGGGAAGAGGTAACTATGGGGAGGAAGGGGGAGGAGAGTTGCTGCATTGGGGTAAATTGCAGTCAATGTCATGAGACAAGTGTACGTGAACTGCTGTATGGAAAGTGAATTTGCTCTGTAAACTTTCACCCAAATAACAATAAAGGAAATAAATAAATAAATAAACTTCAAACAAGGAACCAGAGACATCAACTGACAAATGAGGACAACTAAAATCCAAAAGAGGGAAAAAACTATGTAGTTACAGAACTTCTAGATGGTAGGGAAGTCAAGACAACTACAAGATAGAATGGACTATTCTAAACTTGGGAAGAAAACTACAAATCACAGGGTAACCTCAAAGAAAAATGATAAACCTTCACATTAAAATCAAAAAGAGGACCAGCACAAATATTTAGCAAATACTAAAACAACAGCAACGAAGGATGTGATAACACAATCCATAAACAAAACGAGCTCAGCACAGAAAATTAAATGGAACAAAGGAATCAACACCACAAAAAAGCACATAACAAAATGACAGCAACAAATTCATACTTGTCAATAATTACCTATCTGGCAAGGGACTTATCTCTAAGATTTATAGAAAACTCCAACGCCTCAATAGCAAAGAAATTAACAATCCAATCAAAAAACAGGCAGAAGACATGAATAGACACTTCACCAAGGAGGATACTCAGGCAGCCAGCAAATACATGAAGAGATGTTCACA